GTGTGTGTGTGTGTGTGTGTGTGTGTGTGTGTGTGTGTGTGTGTGTGCGCGCGCATTCATTCAATGTAGACCAGGTCCAAAGAGACATATTTAAGAGCTCACGATGTAATGCTATTACACTAATTAATCCGTCTTATGTTCTTACTTGGGTCAGGCAATACTTTTGTTTGTATCATGCACTATAGGTGTGTGTGGAATGTCTGTGCGTGCTTGTGCTGCTCATAATCCATGGCATTGTTGTGCTGACTCTGACTTTGCCACCACAGTGTTTGATGCCATTTCAATATTGATTCTGTATTGATAACTCAATAATAGCACCATTAGCCTGGTACCTGTTCCACAGAAGAATCATGTGAATGCAAGAGCACGTGATTATCAACAAGTGATTGAACCCAACAAGTGTGTCCCCCCCCATTGTTAGCCCTATTTATAATCGCTAACAAACCAAACATTGTAAAGCTTCCCTGTGAAATGAAGACTTGTATATGGCTTTATGAAAAAGTGTTGCCCAAGGCCACGCTCAAACAAAAGCTCTAAAGAGCTTGTGTCTAATGCTGTACAGTGCACCGTCCCTTGGGCATTCTACCTTTAGTCGGGAGTTCACTCAGCCAGTTTTAAACACAACAAGGTCATTATGTGGTCCCTCTATCGCCTCCAGTACAGTCACAAATAGGTTTGTATGTCTGTGTGCTTCCACTCGTTTAAGCCAACCCTGTGATTAGAGTGAGTGGAAACGGGCCAGATGTGTTTCCCCGGAAGGAGAAAAACATCATTCTGAACTGTGTGTAGTTCCAGGACGCGGACATTGAGGGGTGTATGTGAGCTGTGGAAGTCCTGTGGAGTGTGTGAGGGAGACTTTCTCTGACGTGACAGGCGAGACCACAGGCCATCTGCTCCATGGCTTACTGCAGGATTAGATATAGTGTGTATGTGTGTGTGTGAGCAGAAGAGATGTGTATGTGTGTTTGTGTGTGTGTTTGGGGGTTGGGGAGGTGACGACATAAACCTTTAACCCCACCTCGCTGGCCCCTTTTTTTGACCCCTCTGGCTCTACTTAGGTTCCGATTGGAAATAATTAAAACCATCTGCCTGAGCGCTGTGATGAGCCACTGAATCCTGCCCACAAAACACTTTTACACACAGCAACCTGGCCATGGAGTCTTCCCCCCTCTGATCTCTGATTTAAGACCACCAGATAAACAATGTGCATGTAAACAAACAACAAAACCACCCGTACAAACTACCTGTACACATACAGAGATACAAGGTTAATTTCCAGTCAGCACCCTTTTAACCGTCAGCCACAGTTTATGTAGTATTTTAATGTCCATGAGCAAGTTTGGTCTCAGTGGGTGTGTCCTTCCAATAAGAAGGTGTGTTTGTGTGTTTTTAGAGGTTACCTCCCAGAAAGTGCAGCATGTAGCTCCTAGCAGAGACAGTAGCTGAACTGGGTCACTGCCTATCTGGGTTAATGTAGCTAATTTGCCATCGTGGCCACGTGGCAGGTAAATAACATTGCTGCCCACGTGTGTGTTGGCGTGTCTGAGAAACAGCGATGGGTAGAGGGTTTAGAAAAACCACCAAAAGAAGATTAGCGTAAGATGTCAGGGTTGTATTGATTTTAAATAACATGGTTGTAATAGTAGAGGTGTGTGTGTGTGTGTGTGTGTGTGTGTGTGTGTGTGTGTGTGTGTGTCATGAATACAAGTTCTAATGTGTCTCCACATATTGGTTTGTTCCAGGGTTTGTTGATGTGTTGTTGATGCTGTGTTTACAGAGGGGGATGAAACTGGTATCATGGATGGCCTGCTGGAGGCGCTGCAGTCCGGCGCTGCTTTCAAGAGAAAGAGAGGACCACGGCAAGCAGGTACTCGTCCACAAGCAGAGCAGTTAATCTTCACAAAACGTCATGTCCTGCCTGATTTACAGATTTCTGTTTCCTTTCACACACACTTATGCATTACTACAGTGAAACACGTGGAGCATATGAGACTCATTTGTTCCATCTCCCTCTTCCTCTCTGTTTCTCTGTTTTTGTCAACACACAACAACACAGTTGTTTGTGTTGCCCATGTCTCTGCTCCATCTGTTGCACGGTTCAAAGACTTTGGGTTGTGATAGTATTCTGTGGCCATGGTTACAAATGCAATTCCACCAATGGCTGGCACGACATCAGAAGAGGGAGGCGGCCAAGGCGTGGGTGTGGGCAGGAAGAGACTTAAGAGAGGAACAACTGGCGAGGGTGTGGCTGTGCAATAGGAAATTCTAAGAGGAATATGAATGTAGCGCAAAGGAGGATGAACCAGAGTGTGGGTACACAGTCTAAGGAAGTGGAATCAGTGCTTGGGCAATCGGAAAAATGTATAAAAGGCTTAAAATGTAAAGAAAATAGAAATTGTTAATTCCCCTCTTTATTCAAAATAGGTTTTGCCCATTTTTACTTAGAGTTGGACTCTAGAAATGAATCTGCTGAAGAGTGAAAATGTCTGTGCTTAACATGAATCTGAGTTAAAGACATGTATGAGAACTAGTGGGGTAGCCAATCATAGTCCAATATGCAACTTACACAAGTGTGATGTGAAAAACATTGATTTTATGTTTGGTGTGAAACCCCAGCTCATTGTTAATGTACATGAATATATATCATAGAATCTATATTATCAAAAATCATTCAACTCAAAATCTTTTTTCTGCTTTATCTTGGAACCCAAAAAATTGGATCTATGTTTTTGTCACTACTGGGCCAGCCAAAAGTCCATGTGCTGTATCCGAGGACATGTTCCTGAGCACAGTCTGGTTTGATTATCATTCTGGCCACGTGTTCAGTCTGTAAGCGACGGGACAGTAATATGGTTAGCTACTCATGCTGCCGGGTGTCCCAGTGCCCGATCCAGACTCAGTATGAACATGAGGCAGTGTGGGCTTTCAGGATAGTAACTTGTAATATGATACCTTGTGTTAGGAAACTTGTTTGTGTGTGTGTGTGTGGTGGGGGGTATTCACACATAACAGAGGCTGGGGAAGAGTGAGTGCAACCCAATACCTCCTTCAATAGAAGCCAGATGTGAAGCAGAGCTCCAGAGTGGAATAGCACAGATCCGGAGGGTAGACTGCAATCTTTCTTTCTTTCTTTCAGTCACTCAGTGCATTTATTTAGCCTGTTGGCAGTTATGTCCATAACAATTAAACAGAAGAGAAGGAAAATATAAGTGGCTGTATGTATCACATCTCAGCTCAGTGCCTCCTCCCGGTCTCCTTTTTTTTTTTTTTTTTTCCTCGGTCTTGTCATTTTAGTTTTCTTTTTCCAAAGTTCAGGGTTTTCCATGGCTGATGTGGAGGGTTTGAAGCCCTGCTGTGGTTTTTGGGCACTCTCAGCTTTGCTAGGAGTTTATATTTTCTTCACATATGTTTAAAGGCCACTCCTCTCCAGTTACCCACGTTGCTTCGTACACCCCGGAAGCCCTTCAGCCACACAATAGGAGTGTGTCTGTGACTAGTTGGTTGAGTCAGAGGTCTTAATTTAATGAAGTAGGAGGCGGCACATCCTGACTCTGGCACCACAGTTAGCCTGTTTGAGCATCTCATGTATCCAGCTCATGTGTGCATGAAAGTATGTCAGTGTTCACTCCATAATGTGTAATACATCTATACAATTTTCTGCATGCGGAGCAGAAAAGATTTGTAGATATGACAGAAAATCTGACTTATTTTTTTCTGTTCTGTCATTAAAAGACAAAACACAATATCAGAAGGAGCCACAGCTCTACGAAAACAATAATAGAGATTACAGATACATTTGAAGCTGTAAGATTTGATAAAGCTGGCATCGTTTTGGCGAGCTGCGTCCTCATCTCTCTCGTCCTCCCTCACTGATTGTGAGATAGAATACGTCACTGGCCCTGAGGCCAGTTGAACCAGTTGCTCTCCTAATCTCTCTAATTACTTTTCCATGCAGCTAAAATACAATTAATTTGTACTCTTGTGTTCATGGCATTACTGATCAGATGTCACGTACTGAGTGTGCAGACACAAAGCAAAGGTTCATCCGCTTGAATGATCTATGAATGATCAAAGCAGTGGAGGAGGGGTCATGGTTCCTCTTTGCAAGGAAGTACGTCACAATGAAGCCACACATTCAAATCAGTTTCCTGATACATACAACATAATCAATCGCCTGACGCATTAAAAACAGGTGCTGAGGCCAATTAGGTCTGTATTTAATGTAACTGTAGTATTAATAGTTTTCACAAAGACATGATAAAACATCTAAATGTATTTACTTATAACAGCCAATACACCAGTGAATTTTACTATATATCCGTATTTCCTAAGGAGTTATCTTTCACAGTCACCTGTCCAACAGGAGTGGCAACGAGCATATTCTTCTTATTTCCAGCAATGTAAAAATATGCATAAACTCATTTCCATCAGATTAAAATGCCAAGTTATCACACAGACTTTCTGCCCTTTTTTATTGGGTACAAGATGGTCTTTCCAAGGCTTTTAAACGCTTTTGAGGACTTCTTTGTAAGGTGGCCTAATGTGGCAACAATATGTATATTTTTATTTGATTGTTTTTGTGTTCTGTGTGACCACTATTGTGCACGTGAGGGTCTTCATTACACGACGTGTGTCCCTTCCTTCCCCTCCTCTTTCCTTCCTCTCCTCACAGCTGCAGTAACCGTAAATGTCACCTACTTTGTGTTAAAGGGCCCATTGAGTGTGTGGTCATGCTTATTGTGTCACAGAATTGTGACTGAATGGAAAGCCACGAGGCTGCGGAGGCTATATACCTCCTCACCTTTGACCTGTACCTCAGCTCACTGTGTGTCTTTGTGCTGGTTGTGCTGAATGAGAGGACTGCATGGGGTATCCTCAGCTGTCTACCCCCCCCCCCTTAAACACATACAGACAAAACGCACACTCCAGATGCTTGCATGCCAATACAAAGACACATGGAGGTTTGCGTACCGATACATGCACCCAAACAGACACGTTACATTCCGGAGGACAGACAGCCTTGCATAGTTTTTCAAACATCATCACGCTGTGGCTCTCTGCCTGAGATTGGAAGTTATCTGTCTGTCCTTTTGTATGAATACAGACTTGTCAGCTTGCCTACATCAGGCTAATTTGTGTGCGTGTGTGTTTAAAGCAATATAAGGGCACTCGTGTGTGGATGAATGACGTGTCTAAACACTCACTATAGACCCATCTGCTGGGTCACGACCCTCTGCCAGAACAACCAATCGCAGTAGCAACTAGTTGACAAAGCACCAATCACAACAGAGAGACGGAGATAAAGGGGAACAAAAGAGGCACACGCTGGCTCTGCAGACAGTCTGCTCCTACAAAAAAAATAAAAAAGCCCCCTATAGAGATCTGTGCTGTCCCAGATGTTCATACAAACACACACAAAGACACACACAGGAGATAATTCAGACTAATAAGAGAGCACTCATCAATCAAGTCGTTACTAAGCAGTGGTGATGCATACTAAACACCCACTGAGACAATACATGCCAGCAAGCCACACATATGCACCAGTTGAGCCCATTGGGGGACATGAAAGGCATGCCTGCACATCAATACCAACACGAGACACAGGCCAGCAGTGGTTCCAGATGACGTCACTCTTTCCCACAGTCCTCTGGTGTGGAGCGGCGGTGTGTTACGCTGCAGGGCCTGAGGAGGGCGATGTGAGCCCCTGCTTAGCCGGAGACACTGATGGAGGTCCAGCCTACATCTGCAAATACACCACCATGCTCGTCATGGTTACCATTGTGTCATGTGACCATATACTTTGCCTTCACAAGGCCTCCGAGCTAGTTCTTGTAAGCTTCTCATCTCAAGCTGACCTACACTTGATTTACTGTAAATTCTCTCCTCGCTCGTCTCCCCGGTTCTTTATTTTCCCCTCATAAGGTCGGCACACTTGCATACTGTACAACAAAGAGCTCTTTCCCTCATCAGGCAGCCATTATTTAGTTTCCCGGAGTGTAATGTGTTACAGATGATCTTTTCACTTCACTCTTTGTGCCGCTGATCGACCCCTCGATGTGCAAACACGTTCGTTCACCAGTAAACAGTCTTTGTTGTGAGTCCCGACATCTCATTTCCTACTGCTGCACGCCAAGTGCATGGATCATTTAGTCAACATCACAGCTAGTTTCTGGATACACATGCTGTGTTTCCTATGTTTGTAGTGCCACGTGTTAAAGGGGTACTCAAGCGATTTCTGTTCTGCACTTTCACAATGTTGAGAGGGCAAAACAGATGGATAAAAAACAAACAAAAAGGCTTTAGACGGCTCCTTTCAGAGCCACATGAGTCTTTCAACGACAGAGTTCAATGTGACTGGTAGTGACAATTCTGACTTGTTAGTCTCATCTGAAAGCTGCAAGATCATTCCATGTAGTTTCCACTGAATGGTAATGTGGCAGTTTTAGGCTCTGATCTACTCTGAAGCGATCTCTTAAAGGCTAACTCTGGAGATATTTCATATTTTGTTATTGGTCCACAACAAAGCACTGTTAACACCTCTTTGAGTAACATTAACTCAAATCTAAAGTCCCCAGCTCTTTATGAAAACTAGTTTGCCTTTTAAAAAAAAAAAAAAAGTATATATAGTATACATTTTTTTTTTAATGTGTTTTTTTAGGTGATGTATTTGCTTCTGAGGCTGTTTGAGTTTAAATGCAGATAAATTGTGCACATCCTCACTGCACATGTTCCTGTCTTTACTTTAATCTGCAGGTTTCTGTCTAAATTCATCGTACCGGTGCTGCACCCAATGCTACAGCCCTCTGATCCCGACTCTTATCCTGCCCTCTCCCTCCTCTCTGTCTTCTCTCGAGAGGGAGAGAGGGAGGGAGAGAGTGGAGGATGAGGGAGGAGAGGAGCTGGGTTGACAGCCTTTGAAGAGCTTTTCTCTGCGGGTTGTACACATACACATAGAATAACACCCACACTGATGCACACTCTTTCGCTCCGTTTTTGGGTCATTTGCATAATTTCTAATTAGTTAGTTTATGAGTAAGGGAGAAGAGGTTTGGGAAAGGCACAAAAATAGATATGGAGGACGTATTTGAGAGTTGACTGAGCCAGAGAGAATCTCCAAGGAAACTGTGTGTGAAATGTTAATTTGACACTCCAGCTGTCTGTGCTCATCAGTCCAGCAGAGTTTCACATCTCGAGAAGACAAGTAAATGTGAACTTGACTCTCCAAATCCTCCTTCTCTTCTTTCTTCCCAGACTCCATTGTGTCTTTGTCACAGCTCGTTCTGGAGACCTGTTCGGTAACTTTTGTGTGTGTGTGTTGTTCTTCTCCCTCCGTCAGAACCATGTGTCAACTATTGGTTTGTTGTTTGTGTTCCATGGTTCATTTGCATGTGTACTGCTATTGGTTTGCATCATGACCTTGTTGGATTGATCCTTTTTTTCCCCATCAGTAGGAACAGTAACATCATTGTGTGTATGTAACAAGTGTGACCTGTGCTGATGTCAACCCTTTGTTCACAGCCTCTGTCTGAGTTGTGATCATACACCAGACCAGGCATAACATGACAGCCAAACACCACAACACAATCTCCCACTGACCCATATAATTCAAAATGGCCGCTGCTGCACAGCGCTCCTCCCACGCAGGAAAATGAAGCGTGGTAAAGGATGGAGAGAGAATGAGAGATAAGGGCAAGGCTACTGCGTGTGTGTGTGTGTGTGTGTGTGTGTGTGTGGGAGGAGAAGGAAATAACAGAGTAAACTGGTAGAAGAATAAAAACGGCAGCATCCTCGGGGCACAATCCGTCACACTGTGTGCATCTCTTATCTTTCCTCACTGCATCCACTATTTGTCTGTGATCTATTCTACTACTTCCTTCCAGCTCATGCCTCCTTTTTCCTCAATCTCTCCATCCGTGTTCATCTCATTTTTTTTCATCCCAACCTCCGTAATCTTCCCACAGGATGAATCACTCTGCTCTTCATGGCGTCTCACCCTTCGTCCTACCGCTTCCTTCTTAGCATCTAAACATTCATTCCATCAGTCCCACTTCCTCTTCATCTAAACGTCTCCCATGCCTCGGGTGTCCTTCCTCTTTTACTCATTTTCCACACTTTAAGATCAAGTTGAGGCTAAGCTGACATTAGCAGTGAGTAGATTCCAGATGTCACATTAATCCACACACACGCACAGCCGTACCATTAAGCCGTTTCTGTGTTTGTTTGTCGCGGTAATGCATGTATCTGTATGTTGGAAAGAAATGGAGCATCTCTGTTGTTTCATCATTCACAACACAAGTCTTTGTTGCACATACTTGTGAATGTGTGTTTGCTCAGTGAAAATGTTCAGTACCTGTCTGCCGATGTGGTGTTGTTTGGCTTACTGACTTTTATTTAATTTTTTTTGAGCATCAGATGTCACGTCATGGCATGCGCTGACATATCTGTATGGACTTGCTCTAATATAAACATGACATCTTAATGTCATTACTATCTCACTGACTGTATTTCTCTTTCTCAGCCAACCACCGACGAGCTGGTCATGCAGTGACCAACATCCTGGCCAAAGAGCTGATGCAGGAAGAGACGCCCTCATCCAGCAAACAGCCCGCTAAGAAGAAGACCGAGGAGAAGGAGGAGCCTAAACCAGAAGGAGCGGAGTCATTGGAGGAGTTACTGGACGCTACTCCCTCTCGGTCCCATTAGGCAGACGGGGCAGAGAGATTTTAACTCTGATGTATTTCGTAGCCATTCCAGTGGCCAATATCAATCTGAGATTAGCTCACGGATAACATCCCCGTGTTTCCCAGAGTTCGAGCCTTAACGGGGCCATCTTTAAGGGTTGCATTGACTGCGTCTTCAGGGAGTGGCAGAGGAGGAGGGCAGGGCTCACACCTCAGCCTCTGGATCTTTGCCATTTTCAAAAAGATTTAATTGCTTTCTTCAGCATGTGCACATATCTGTTCATGTATTTTTGTCTGTTTCTTTTTCACTTTATTCACCCGTCATTCGACAAAGGCCAACTTCAGCGATTCCAAAGACTTACTCAGGAGGAATCCGCCCTTCTTTGTGCTTATATTCTAAATCCCAAATTTAGACCGGAAATGTCTGGAATTGGGCAAATCCTGCAGGTGCAAGTTTTCTCTGGCTGTACCAGGACAAGACCACAACACACTTTTTTTTTTATCGTATGAAACATATTGCATTGTATCTGTCTGATATACTGTATGTTACTGGTTTGTAAATGCTAATCACTTTTGCTGTGTTATTGAAAAAAGCGCCAACCAATCCAGTCTTGTCATTTCCCTCCCCGGCGATCACGTTCCCACTGGGCTGCTGTCAGTCATCACCTGGGTGTTTCCGTGTGTTTTGATTTATTTTTGACTGAGAAGGGATTTTGTTCACTGGTGTGCATGTGTAAAAATAGATTTCACTTAAAAATTTAGATAATTTACACAAACTTGTCTAAGCTACCACATGTGCCCACAACAGTTTTATGAAGAAAACGTGCTTACATCCATTCACATGAACATTCCTGAAGCCCCAGAGGGAAGTAGAGATAGACCGGAGAAGAAGAAAGTCGGTTAAACCATTTTTGTTGTTTCCATTTAATATGCTAGCCTTTACATGCCTGTGTGCTTTTTTGCATAAGAATGAGTGTGTGCAGTATGCCACCTATATTTAGTTTGATGTGCACACTCGACTTCCCACATGTGTTTGTGCTTTTAGGTTTGAGTGCATGCGTGTGTTGCCATCTGTAATTACTGTACGGTACCGAGCATGCTGTCATAAACCCTAGGTTTCCTAAACAGCGTTGTGGTCTTTCTGCTGAAGATAGAGCACACTGGAAAACTGCCCAAAAACTGCTGAGACAAGAATGTGTGTTTGTGTTGTTCACCCACGTTCCCTCCCACTGAACGGCAGCAGTAGTTGCTGAATGTCTGGCCTTGCTCTCATTCGTATTCAGTAGCCATCAGCATACATGTTGCCATGATGTTGTGCTGTAATATCTGACAAGAATCCGGAGAGGTGATATCAGCTGCTCCATGCAATATTTATAACTATGCAAATATAATACTATACTGCGCGCACTCCAGCCCTGATGCCCAACTGGGTTTATCAACCTGCTGGTTCAAGATCAGGGCTTCATTTGGCCCCTGATTGAGGAAAATCTTTATAAAACCATTCTCAAACAACATCAAATGAAATAAGGTTATTTAAGTACAGTGCAGATCCCTGACCTGATCAAGTGCTGGTGCTATATTTGAATCCAGTAACGCAGAATAATTAGCTCTCAAAGATATCGGGAGACTCGTCTGCTGTTCTATTATTCAACCCGTCTCTTCAGGTGGACAGTGCCAGGTGGTCGTGTGTAACGGAATACTGAAAGTTGGCTGTTTTCAATGTTAAGGAAAGAATATCACTGGAATATTTGTTTTCTAATTCGAGTCATTACTTTTGCTGATTCATTTTTTTAAGAGATGTTTTCTATGTTCATTTTTACACTTGATTATTTTATTGTATTTGAATGGAGACTTTTTTTTTTTGTTGCTCTATGTATACAGAATAATGCACATAGTCATTCTGTCTGCTACACAGAACTATTAAACAATGATTTAGTAATTTAATGATGTGACTGGCTCATTCTGAAAGTGTCTGCATCTTCTGTTGATTTGTTAATGTGATCAAGTCAGTGTGTGTGAAACTTCCAGCCCCCCCCCCCCCCCCTCTCTCATGTAAACACATTGTGCAGTAAAATACCAGATAGTTTCAGCACGTTGCAGTGAAAGTCAAATTTTATTGCCGAAAGACGGAATGAATTACGGTTTAGTTATTGTGACAGAAGCAGTTCAGGATGGCTTCATGGGTTTCCTGAGACATTTTCCAGCATTGATTGTTATACATGGTCTCTTACATAAAACTGTGAGAGAGGAGAGAAAGGAGAACAGTTGATGCCGAATGCTGTTTTCTCATCATTTGTGACCCTCTCTCTTTCTGTTCGGACCCTTCTGTCACTGACGCAAATACTGTATAACCACACCGCTCTTTGTTCCAGTGTCTCTGTCTCTAGAGATACAAAGTACTATGATAAGTCATGATTTTCACTATTCTCCTCCCTTTAGTGGTCAGCCTAGCCAATACAGGCCTGTTCTGGGAATACCCTGCTGTGTCATACCGGCTACACGGATGCACACCCAAAATAGCTGGAGAGGTTTCCCTGGCCGCAGCTTTGTTCTGTAAGGTGAGTTGATTCTTTGCTTTGAACATATTTCCTTCCACATCTCCTAAATCTTTCTGATGTTCTCTCTGGCTGCAACTTGTTCAGACAGAAACCTTTGCATCTGCTTTTTATCAGTCAGAGTGGCTTCCTTTTATCATTTACACTTAAGTGGGCTCATGCTGATGTAGTTTCATAAAAAGCCATAGAATACAATGTCCTGGAAAAAAAGATATAATCTAGTGTATCATAAAAACCCATTGAATAGTATGTTTAAAAAACACAAAGTATTGTATGTCATTAAAGAATTCCATAGCATAGTATCTTATTAAAAACATCAAAATTCCTAGTATATTACATAATTAAAAAAGTGATTGTATTGAATGCCTCAGAAAATTGTAAAAGTCATAGTATAGTATGTCAGAGAAAATAAAAGAAATGCAGTATATGTCATTAAATGTCATTAAAAAGTAATCATATATAATGCCATGAAATAGTCAGGAAAAGTAATTCTATAGTATTTCATTAAATATGTCATAAAAGGCTATTAAAAGCCAAAAAAGGTGTCATAAAAGTTCATAGTATATCATAAAAAAGTAATAAGGTGTGGTTTATTATATAATAAAACTTCATAAATAAATAGTCATTAAAAGTAAAATCATAGTATAGTATAGACCCAGAATGTATAGTATAGTATGTGGAAAAAAGTCACAAAAAAGTAATTCTATATAGCATTGATAAAGCGTTAGAGTCGCTATGCTGTAGACTGTTTTGCGCTTCAAAGGTTTAGATAGAATACATGTTCACATTAATTGGTTAATTATCACTTTGAAATCAACATCACTATTGTTAGCATCAGTGAATCATGGATTATTTTACAACATCAGTCATTTATTTTGCAATATAAACCTATGATGTTTATTGCTAAATGTTGCAGTTGCATAAAAACAGCTGTGAACCTCATTTGTTTAAAAGGCAGGGATGCATAGCTACAACCTGGACTACCAGTAGAAGAATTACACCAAAGGTTAAGGTTTGCAAGAGAGTTAACACATGTAGGTTTTGTATTCATTGAGATTCAGGGTTAATTTATCTATAATGACGTCTCATTACAATAGTTTCAGGTCCTCCTGATTCCCAGACTCCTGTCTCTTGCTGTGAAATTCTCTGGAGTCTGGGGTGATTTGTGTGTGTGCGTGTGCGTGTGCGTGCGTGTGCGTGTGCGTGTGCGTGCGTGTGTGTGTGCGTGTGTGTGCGTGCGCGTGCGTGTATGGCCTTATATGTGTGAAGGGGGTCTGCTGGAGAAAAGAGGTCTGCACAAAGAAAGAGGGCAGCATAATTGGCTTCAGCACTGCCAGGCGACACAATGACACAGCCATTGATAGTGGAATGAGTTCCTGGGAGCAGCGGACCAATCGCAGAGCAGAAGTCTGTTTTTCGCAGCTCCTGATTGGCTGGCTGAGGGAGGCTGTCGGTCTCCAGGTAGCAAAGTGAACCTCTGTGAATATCTGCCACCCCTCTGCCTCCTGGAGGAGGGAGGGAGTGTTAGATGTGGAAGAGGAGATGTGACCTCTGTGGAGAGAAGAAAACAATTGATTTATATGCACACAGCATACTGTCGTTTATATATTTTGTATGATTCCCCTCGCCTCCTATTTCCTCGTCCCTTCTACATCGAACGCCCTTTCTTTTCTTTTCCTCTGACCCAGAAGCTCTGTGAGTGCATTTCTCTGGCTGCCATTAGCACCCACATTGCCAGGGCTGTGAAATAAATGTGTTTCATTTGTGTCTAACTTGGCTGAACACTCCACAGCTTCTCCCAGTCTCCATTTCAGAGAACTGCGGCGTAAAGCCTCGCTTCATTTGTTTAGATTGGCCATTTCTCAACTTCCCTGCTGCTTCAGGAGAGAAATACACACGACTGGCATTTAAACTCCAGAGAAACAGGCTTTGAGTGACTTTGAATGTTAGTACTTGTATGACTGCATATTTTTAATATGTGCTGAATATGTCTGTGCATTTGTGTGCTTATTTGCATCATTTTGAATTTGCCTGCAAGGAAGGGCCATACATGCACACGTCTGCTTCTTCGTGTGTAAATGTGTCCCTCCCTGCGTCGGCCATCATATCTTAATATCATCTCTTTGATCAAATGACTCGCTTGCTTGTATAACACTCTTCATGTGACACACAATTAGCAGACAATTAACATGGGCCAGTGAGTGTCAACCGATTGGCTGTGCCATCACACCGCTGGGTGACATCTCCATCATCACAGCGCTGCCAGAATCACCCTGAAGCACCAGGGGGCAGAGATGAAAACACTGTCTGCCTGTCTCAGGCAGGAATCTGTGTCTGTCTGTCTGGTTCTCCGTGTCCATAAACAT